CATTGATACAATATTTTGTAAGTGAATAACAAATATACACAGGCATGGGCTGCATGGCGGCGCAGTGGTTAGCACTGTGGCCTCGCAACACGAAGGTCGCAGGTTCGAAACTCTGCTGCGGCCTTTCTGCGTGGAGTTGCGTGTTCTCCCCATGCATGCGTGGGTTTTCTCCGGGTACTCCGGTTTCCCCCACAGATCACAACGTGCCCTACAGGTTATAAATTGTAAGTCGATTTGGGTAAAAGCGTCTGCTAAGCACATAAACATAAAAACAATATAACTAGCTATTCAGTGGCTCCAGGAAAAGAGTGAGAGACCACTTGAATATGCTTGGTTGTTTTGCAGGTTTTTACGTATTCTGGGAATAAACCACAGATGTAATGACAATGTTTAACTAGAAAAATTGCATTTATTGCACAAATGCTGTTTGAATGCTGAACAGCTGAACTGAAGCTGAAATTAAGCAAAACTGTCAAATTGAGCTGAATGTCTTGAAAGATGTAGAAGCAAAAAGCACCAACAAGCTAATAAAGCACAAAAAGTGAAGAATAGAGAAAAATAATGTTAAATAGCAAAAAAAAAACTTAAATCTGTGAACATTGTATAAAAATCTGGACAGCTTAAATGTCTAAACACCTGTTATTTCAGTTTGCCAAGTTTAACAGTTTAATCTTTACATTTAGCTGAACTGTGAAATCTAGATCCAAGATCTTGGAAAAGGTTGTGGCTAAACAACTCACAGCTGCTCTTGATGAACATAACATCTATGATAGCTTCCAGTCAGGTTTTCGTAGAGCTCATTCTACTGAAACAGCTCTTCTTAGGGTCTCTAATGACCTTCTGACCCACAGTGATACAGGGGACTGTTCTGTTCTGGTCCTGCTGGACCTGACTGCAGCCTTTGACACTGTTGACCATCACCTGCTACTGGAGAGGCTGAGAGACTGGGTAGGCCTATCAGGATCTGCTCTGGAGTGGATCTACTCTTATCTCTCTGAGCGCTCCTTTTCTGTGGCCGTCTCCAAGTTTAGGTCCTCCACCACCTCCCTTACCCATGGTGTCCCACAAGGTTCTGTGCTGGGGCCTCTGCTCTTCCTCCTCTATCTGCTTCCTCTTCAGCATATCCTGAGCTCCTTCAAAGGAATCTCCTACCATCTTTATGCAGATGACATCCAACTGTACATCTCCTTTAGGCCCCATGAGATGTCTAAGCTGCAGCTGTTACACACCTGCTTAGACTCTATCAAAACCTGGATGGTGGGAGCTTTCTTCAGTTGAATGAAGATAAGACTGAGATCCTCATCTGTGCCTCAGACAAGCTGGTTCCCAAAGTCAGAGACTCTCTTGGTCAGCTTGCTTCCCACACCAAACCTTCCGTCAGGAATCTTGGCGTGACCTTTGACCCAGCTCTCACCCTGGATTCTCATGTCAGTTCTCTTGTTGGCTCTTCCTTCTTCCATCTCAGGAACGTTGCTAAGCTGAGTCCCATTCTGTCCCGCTCTGAACTTGAGACAGTTCTCCACACCTTCATCTCCTCACGCTTAGACTACTGTAACTCTCTTTTCACGTGTCTGAGCAGAACCTCCCTGAACCGTCTACAGGTGGTTCAGAACGCCTGTGCTCGGCTTCTGACCAAGTCCTCCAAACACACCCACATCACCCCGCTTCTCCTCCAGCTTCACTGGCTGCCGGTCAACTTCAGGGTTCATTTCAAGATCCTGGTTCTGGTCTATAGGGCCTTACATGGACAAGCACCATCTTACATTGGTGATCTTCTTAGTCCCTACACCCCCAGCAGATCCCTGGGGTCCAGTGATCAAAGCCTACTGGTTGTGCAGCACCAGGCTAAAGGTCAAAGGTGACAGATCATCTGCTGCTGTGGCCCCCAGACTCTGGACCTCTCTCCCCCTGAGCCTGAGATCAGTGGACTCAGTGGTGTTTTTTATTCTTGTGAAGCATTTCATGCAGGGGCAGATTTAGGACTGAAGAAGATCCGGGGCTTAACACACACACACACGTGACACGCACTAGTCAACATCATATATGTCTTGTACCACATAATTTTTAATCTGAAGCTACATATTAAGCATTTTCAGGGCAGAGTATAGTTCCTGTTAGTGTTTAGTGTGAGATGATAGTAAATATTCCCTTTCTTTCTCCAACAACTTTACCTGATAGTAAGCTAACTTTAGGCAAACCAGCAGCACAACAAATATTTTCAAATAAGACTCACAAACCTGAGTCAGCACCAGTCTCATCAAAGCTGGGGTTCTGTCGCCGTACTTTTGGTCTAAAAAACGTCCTTATGTCCATCTTCACTCATGCGTTTCAGGCAGAGAGTGTAGAAGAAGCCGGCTGCTGAAGGGCTTCTTCTTCAGTGGTGGAGGCTCAGGCAGGCTGTATACAAACTACTGCCAGCTGCTCCCTCTCTGTTGGACTTTGGTACTGCATGTTACTTCCGCGTTTGAGATCCGGGGCTTCAGCCCAAGTAGCCGGGCCTAACGCCGCCCCTGTTTCATGACTTTTTTTTTTTATCTTAAGAGGCTACATAAACGATTGTTTCTTCTTCTAAAGTGCTTGAATAAAAGTGGGAATGCCCTTGGTTAAATTTCACACACACACACACACACACACACACACACACACACACACACACACACACACACACACACACACACACACACACACACACACACACACAGTAAACCCTGCAGACACAGGTGTGTGGTCTTGCACTTTTCTGCCTCTGTGAGTAATTCTCGTTCTCTGAAAACCCTGCCCTGCAGCAAGAAAGTCACTGGTTCAAATCCCGGCTGCAGCCTTTCTACATAAAGCGTGCTCTGCGTGCTTGCATTAGAGTGGGTTGCACCTTAGGTCCAAAAACTGAGTTGCTTTGCATAAAAGTGTTCTAAGTGAATAAACAACAATAAACAAACATGTTGCTTGGTAAAGACTTCTCAAGGGTTCAGTTGAAGGCAGCCCAGCTGAAATCTGGGAACACTTGATCCGGATGTTGGATAATCAGCTGTAGAACAAGAGGAGGCTCTCCTGCCGATGCTTTCATGCAATGTTCACACAGCGAAGGCCTGGATTTGTGTCTCAGAGCGATCTGACAGAAAGCAACACCGACTCTGTGATTACATCACTGCCTTCAGCAAAGTCAAGGACGCGCAAAATCAATGCTCCTGATGCAAATGCTCAGTGGGAACTCACTTAAAAGCTAATAACATTAAGCTCTGAGTGCTGCAAAGTCAGCCCACATTGTAATGTTATGTAAATCTGACCATATGACAGCTTCATTTAAGCTGGAGTGTGTGAGATTATGTATGATAGTGGCCCATTTTGCTCCCTTGTGCTCATCTCTGCTTCCTGGTAAATAATTCAGGGAATAAATCTGCGTATTAGAAGAAGACATTCAGAAATTGCCAAAGCAGGCCCCGGAGACTCGGCGGTGGATTTCATATGCAGGGAAAGAAATTGGAGAGTACATGATGTTGGCTGGAGGGTCCATCACTCATCAATCTGTTTGTAAACAGCAGATTTATGTGCAGTAAAGCAAGTCGCTTGGCTAATCTGCTGGGGGGCTTCCTCTTTTTCTCTCTCAGACGCACTAGACATCACAGCCGGCAGCATGTTCAGGAAGAAATTACCAAGAAATCTCATGTTGTCAAAAACCTCAGGTTCCACAGAGGGAGAGAGAGGGAGGCTGGAGAAGCAGGGTATCTGCAGGTTTAAGGGAGCCAAATTTAAGACTTTTTAAGACCTTTTTAAGGCCACTTTGACCAATTTTAAGCTATTTTTTTTATTAAATTTAAGCTATAATTTCCAGCTATTGCCTGGAACCGGTGCTAACCATGTCATGAACGTGGGATTAGCCATCCAGTTACCATTAATGTTGCCATGTCTTCCCCATGGTGCAAACTTCCACTAGCGTGCTCATCTAAAAATAGCCCCCTTTCACAACCAACCGAATGTGTACGGTTCCGCTTACGCCAATATCGTACACAAAAAATGCCAAACTAACTAGAAATTCATGAAAATTTTATAGAAATAAAAGAATCTTGTTTATTGGGTCTTTGGTAATTTAAGACCTTTGGAAACTATTTAAGGATTATTTGTCATTTTTAAGGATTTTTAAGGCCTTAAATTTGGAAAAGCTAATTTAAGACTTTTTAAGACTTTTTAAGGACCTGCAGATACCCTGAGAAGGTGATGCAAGCAGCAGGTCAGCTGTGGATAAACACCCCAGTCTACACATCCTGCGCTTACAAACATTTAGCCTTTCCCTTGCTCCGCTCGCACACATCTCCCCTCTGCTGCAGTTCGAAGCTTTGGTTTCTGCCGTCTGCAGGGAGGAAATGAAATGCTCAGTGACTCACGGCTGATTTGCAGCACATAAGTAAAAATGACAAATGAAGAGGATTAAATCAAGCGGGTCCTGGAAAGGCAGCAAGAAGAAAAAATAAACCCAAGATCTTTAAATTATTCTAACAACTCCATCAAGCTGATCTAAGCGGTGAGAATACTTCATAGCTGAGTGCATTTCCTGATTGGAAAAAAAAAAGTCCAGGAGACGGCAGGCTGTTTCTGGGTGTGATTAAAGAGCTGTCCCAGACCGGTGACCGTAGGAGTTCTGCTAGGTTGTTCTGGTTCATCTAAAGAGCAGATGAACTGCACAAAGGGAGGGATGAGTGGGGGTATCGGAGACTGCTGAGGGGCTTTTTAGTGACTCTTGAAAGGAGTGAAGCGCTCCTACTTGTTCAGAATAGATCTCGTTTGGCGGCAGCACAAGAGGTCAGCGGCAGGTTTCAGTGGAACGAGGAGCAGACGGAGGAAAGATGCTCATTAACCAGCTGATCCAATGGACGAGAAGCCAAAAGGCCAAGTATTAACAAGCAGAGTGGGGGTTGCAAATAGGCAGGGCCCGAAGGACACATAAGAAAATAAGGATTTATTTTCTACATTTATTTTAAAAGTGGTCAAAAAAAGAAGAGACACGATGCAGTTGCAGAAGCTTTTATTGAAGAAAATGAAAGTACATGAAGCTCCATCAAGTTCTGAACAGAAACCAGCTGGAGGAGTGTCTCTCTCTGCCCCACCTGCAGGAGGTTTCACGCGGATGGGCTCAGAGGCGGTCCCGACAACAGAGAGACTTTATTTACTGTGGTTAAAAAAACAACAACAAGATTAAATCAACTTCCAACAAACACAGGAACGTTAACGGGACACCGTTCTGCTCGGCTGAAGGCACTTTAATAAACATAAACACATTAAAACATCACATGGATCGGCGTCTAGAGAGATCGCTCAGTCTGAAGTCACAGAAAGTGACCCGACCAGAGCCGCCCCGAGCAGGGTGTGTTTGTGTGTGTGTGTGTGTGTAACAGCACACTGCTGAAAATCCTGCTACTAAAACAAATAAACACACAGTTAGCCTTTTAAAACCTGCACAAGTTCTTCTTCCTGGACAACTTCTTAAATTTCTGACTTCAAATTAAAAACCCAACAAAAAGTCAGTAACTTTTTATGAAAGTTGTGTTTTTTCCAACATATTTAAGAAAATAAAAGTGACTTAATGTGTTTAATCGTTTATTTTTGTCTCCATCCTCAAATTCCCACAGCTGATTTAAATAAAGAATGTTTGACGTGATTAAACAGAGGGTTAGGGTTCCACGCTGATGGTAAAGCGGTAGTTAGTGAGGTTTAGGTCGGTTACCAGCTGCCTTCCGACGGGAGGCCTGAGAGGGAATCTCTGACTCCTCCTTTTCTCCATCTCAAAAACAGACCGTCGACAGACAAAAATAAACATGCGCCAATAATCAGCTGAGAGAGACTCACCCCGGCTTTCCATCGGAGCCGTCAGCGGCGCGAGTCGGCCGCGTCTCAGGAGCAGCATGTCGCGGCCTTTACGCGCCGGTTCTATTTTCTACGCGCGACGCCTCTGAAACGGGTCAAGTTCGACATTTTTGGGGAAGGAAAGACAGGAAATCGGACGCGGAAATGGAGAGAAGCTACCGAGATTTTCAGAATAAAGAACGTACTGCTTTCTGGTTGCTTTACTTTTAAAACAAGTTACTAACTGTGCATCCCCGTGAGAAGTTATCAGCTAGCTAGCGGTCTCCTTTGTTTTTCAGGTCCGTATTGGCGATTATAAAACGGACAGAACATAAAACACAAACCATGTTGTAGTTTTCTCCTGCTTGTTGTTGTGTTTACTGACGAAGTCACTCGTGTGACTTCGTGCTCGGTCGGTGACAGCTGCTCCCCTGCTGCTTGGCGTCTCGTGGGAAGGGCCGAGCAGCAGCTTACGCGAGCAAGACGTGCTGCTGCAGTAACGTGCTGCTGACGGCTCCCGTGGAAACCCGGGGTTACAGAGCAGGATTTTACAAAGTGTTTCCATAGAAACAAAACTGTGTGAGATAATCTGATCACATCCTGATTTGTTGCAAGCAAAAACAAAGTTTAGATTTTTAAGGATCTTATGGCTTTAAAACATCGAGTGTTTGAAAGAAACAATAAAGAGACACAAACATATAAAGGTTTCTAACTTGGTTCATAACAGAATAATCCAGACGGACAAACTAATAAAGCTTGTGTATCTGAATCGGCCTAATCCCTCCCGGTTCAGACTATTACCCAGATTAACAGATTATTGTTACAGATTGTTACTTTAAAGAGCAAGTCACCTCCTACCAGAGTCTAACTCCACTCCCACTTCATGTTTGAAAAATGCTGTTGCCTGGCAGACCGAGAGGGCGGAGCTGCTAACAAATACACACACACTCAGGCTCACGACAGCATTGTGACATCATAATGAACCAGTTTACATCATAGCATACTTCTTAGCCAACAGCGTTGGCAGATTTAAATTAAAATATCTAACCCTAACCCGAACACTGCCAGTTTTAGGCAGAATATTTAAATTTGAACTAAGATGCACTGAAGTGCCAAATTATTGACGACACGTGTCTGCAGCACGATTAGACACTCGTTTATTTAGTTTATCAGCAAAAAAAGTTTTTTTTAGGGGGTGACTTGCTCTTTAAGGAACCCTGTGGGGTTTGATGGTAAATGTTATGACTCAGTGTTTCTCATCGCTTTGGGATGAAATGGTCATTCGTCATTTTCCATGCACTATTCCTGCAGGTTTATTTCAATGCCTCTAACTTTTAAAGATGGATCATGAGGAAAGTTTTAAAATATGGAGAAAAAAATGTGTGAAAGTCAGAAAACAGCAGCTGTGGTTGTGTGTTCATTTTGGTTTTACGTCATCGTGTCTCATAGATTAGTTCTGCCGGTTTACTGTGGATGTGTAGTTGCTCTCCGACTTTACAAACCGTTATTATTCCACTCATCAGTAATCTTTTGGTCTCATTTAGTCTTTTGTTTTTTCCATTTAATTTAAATTTTTTGTTTCCGAGTCTTTGCCAGGTGAGAAATATTAAGCGTTGGTGAAATTCTCAGGGTTCCTCTAACTCACTACTGACCTGGCTGAACCGTTGGGTTCAAGTGAGAATCTGATGGTTCGTAAATCCTCAAAAAACAAAACACATCAAAGTGTTTTCAGGTCAAACTGTCATGGTCCCTTCCTCTCCCGTCAACGTCGAACCCTACACCTCAAACATGAATGTAAAAACTGACAGACAGCACACGGACACACACGGTACCAACATCTGGTTCGATTAAAGGGTCGCTATAAGGACACTTGTGCACGTACAGATAAAATATTTCCTTATTCATAACATTTAGTATAAAGTGTCGATGCACTTAATGCTGAACATTGCATAGGTGTGTGAAAGTCCTCCACTCTGGCTTCCAGTGGTGTGACAGAATGCTAAATCATATTGTTTAAGGTTACGTTATGTGAATGGAATATTTTGATTGTACAGTTTGGACCGCTTGGAAAATAATCTGAGAAACATAAAAATAAAAGATGTTTTACTTTGAAATTTAGAGAAGATTAGGAAGATATTTTAGTTACTTTGAAGTGAGTTTCTATTATAAAGTTATAACAAAACCCCTTGTACGAAACTTCTGAACAGCTTCTGTTTGGAGAAATGGTTTGAGACAAGATTGATAAGCTAACAGCCAGTCTGAAGTCAGCCAAGGCCAATGTGGATTATTGCCATCCTGGAATTCAGCCATTCATGAGTAAATGTTTATAAACATTTACACCGCAGTTCATTTAAAATGAGTTATTTACATAAAATCTGATTATTTGCCCACATGAAACACAGAGAAAACCGCTAGCTGTGAGATTTCACTCACGTCCAACAGGAGTTAAACCGTAACTGTGTTCAGATAACTACATGATGTGATACTGATGGTGATGTAAACGTTTAAATAAAACAGCAGAAACTGCTATAAAAATGGGGAAATCAGAGCTTTTTAAGACAGCAGCAATACTTTGGGCTAGAAACACAGAGCCACATTTCAAAATGTCCAAAATATTAAGGCTACTAAAGGGTACCCATCACGTTTTAGTTCTGTAGTGAAATTGTTGTTTCTACATCCTGTGGTCCCAACTGGTTTAACATAAATAACATTTAATAAAAACAAAACCTGGAAAAGTGGAAGTTTGAGTTGGACTTTGCTGGAGTTTAGTCCTGCAGATCTGTTGTACTGAAAGCTCCTGGTTTCTAAACCCATCCACCCATGACCGGACCTGCTGGGTGGCGGAGGACTGAGTTTTAGATCAGGACAGTCTGTCAGGTCAATGCATAGATGTTTTTGATTACCTGTGAAGCACGAGTGATTATTTTTATGCTATGGCCTGATGGATTGGTGATTAATTTAAGCAGCAGTCCACCTCAGTCTCTCTTCAGCTGTACCTCCTTTCTTCCCATCTTTATATGCTAAGCTAATTAGCTTCTAGCTGTAGCTACATTTCCTACCTACAGATGTGAAAGCGACAGATTTTCTGTCCATCATGTATGTGTTCTAACGAAAATGTGGATATGAAATATATGAACTTTTCTTAACAAGCCTCTAATGTACCGATTCATTGGGTTACATGTATGCAGGTGAGAACATGGAGCCATTTCTAATAATTTATAGTGAACATAAATACTGAGGGATATTCAGTCTATGCATGTTTCTGTGGATGGGTGTGTTTGCAGGAGAAAGAAAAATAAAGATGAAAGAAAGAGTGCGTGCTGAGTTATCACAGTGGAGGTGACTGGGCGGTGGGCAGCTCAGAGATCAGTGGTGGCATTGGCAGTCAGCGCTTGGATACGGCTGGCGTTACAGTTTTTGCAGAGGACGTGTCCATCGAGTGGGTAACAGCCCTGGTTTTCTCCCTCTGAGAGCAGAGAGCTGCAGTCCTACAGGACACATAAACACACAGCTGTTAGCCATGCTCAACAACCACATGCATTTGGTCCTTTTGGCTTTAACAGTTTCTCCTGTTTGAAAACTGAGGTTGTCCCATGTTACAGGAGGTTCTGTAGTATGGTTCTCTTCAAGCTGGTGAGAAATAAACCACATGCTTTGAGTAGCATAACACATTTAAAAATATTAAACATTCAAACCTAAATTCTATCTAGATTTATTCTTTATACCAAAGAAATACCACAGCTGAGGCCTAAAATTTGGAAAAGATCTACTGGAGGAAGGCCTCGTGTCACTTTTGTCAAAAAAAAAAAAACCTCCAGGGACAGACTAATCATCTACAAATCATACAGGGATTAAACTGCCGAGGACCAGAGGAACCTGTGTTGTTTTGGATATGGATGTAATGGACCGTCTGTAACAGAATCGGTGAGTGCTCCCACCAGCTCTGTACTCTGTAAAGCATTTAGAAACCAGTCATGTGGAGCTGCTTCTCAGCTAAGGGAGTAACAAGTCAAGTCAACTTTATTTATAAAGCACTTTACAACAGCATCAAAGCTGACCAAAGTGCTTAACAAGCCAAAAAGAACAGAAGTTCCCTAAAAATTCTAAAAATAAGATAAAAAAGTTCATCACAAAGTAAAAACATGATAAAACAAACATATCAAACTGACATAAAAGCTACGAAAAACAGATGCATTCTCAAACTGAATTAAAAGCAACTGAGAACAGATGAGTCTTTAAAAGCGATTTAAAACCCGACGGTGACGAAACCGTCCTAATCTGGATTGGGAGTACATTCCACAACCTCGGGGCTGCTACTGAGAAAGCTCCATCACCCCTGAGCTCTCTCTTTCTTCTCGGCACCTCCAGGAGAAACCGGTCGGCTGACCTCAGTGACCGAGACGGGGAGTGAGTAACTAAAAGTTCACACAGATACTGCGGAGCAAGGCCATGTACAGCTTTTAAAAGCCAATAAAAGAACCTTGTACTGGACCTAAAATCCACAGGCAGCCAGTGCAGCGAAGCTAAAATTGGGGTGATGTGCTCCCTCTTTCTCGAACCCGTCAATAGGCGTGCTGCTGCATTTGGCACCATTTGAAGACGAGAGAGGTGAGACTGATTGAGACCAAGGTACAGTGCGTTGCAACAGTCAGGGCGTGATGTAATAAACTCGTGAATCACCATCTCAAAGTCATGACTTGAGAGCAGACGCTTAACCTTGGCGTAGGGCTGGGCGATCATATGATCGCACTTTGTGATCACGATCATTTTCAGTTCAATTACGGTGATCAGCTGGGAGTCTCGATCAGAAATAACAGATGTTTGCAGCCTCAGTAGGGGGCGCTAACCCTCCATGCGCGTTGGTTGCCCACCGCCATTAAACAAAAAGAAGAAGCATTTGCAATTACACTTTTCCTGCTCCGCTACTTCGGTGAAGAGGTTTGATAAGCAGAATGGCCAAACGTGGAGCTGAAGACAGTGAAGTAGATCCCAGTCATGACTCAGAGTTGTCTTCTGGAGATGAAGACATTGTTCAGAAGAAAAGCTACTCAACGTCAGTTGTGTGGCGGTGGTTCGGGTATCTCAAAAGTGACATTGAGCAAATCAAGCCGACATGCAAGGTATGTCGGCGAATGGTGCCTTCAAAAACTGGCAACACTACGAATCTATTTAATCATCTAAAGAAATACCACCCAAGTGATTATACAGAGAGCGTGAAAATGCGAGCAGAGTCCGGACAACTTGTTAGCTTGTCTCAAAGTAGACTTAGCACTAGCGCAGCTGCTAGTAGTGGTCCAGCCGGCACTGGCGGTGCAGCTGCACAACCAAAACAGCAATCAATCATCTCGTCATTTTCAGCTGTTGCACCGTACAAGCAGAACTCAAAGAGAAGCAAAACCATCACAAAAGCTATAACTTTTTGTATAGCAAAATACATGATGCCTCTGAACACAGTAGAGAAAGAAGGACTTAGCATAGCATAGCATAGTTTATTTATATAGCACGTTTAAAATGCAGCATGGGAGCTACCCAAAGTGCTGCACAGGCTAAAACAAAACAAACCATTACAAGGAGCTAAAACAAAGGATAAAAAATCTCAATCAAAGGCAGATAAACCATGATGAATACTAAAAACACATTAAAACAATGATAGATACAATAAAACACAAACGAGTCACTGTCTAAAAGCCAAAGTGTAAAAGTGGGTCTTTAAACGAGATTTAAAAACCGCCAGAGATGGAGCCCGCCGAACTCCAATGGGCAATGAGTTCCATAGCTTTGGGGCAGCATGGACAAATGCTCGATCCCCCCGCGATTTAAGTCTCATCCGCGGCGTGTGCAGCAGCAAAAGGTCAGCCGACCTCAACGTGCGGGTGAGCATTTAATCAAAGTGCTGGACCAGAGGAACGAAATATCTGGCCGAAAGTATTTTTCTCAAACTGCACTGCCACAGCTATATGATGAATGCAGAGAAAAGCTAGAGATGGAGCTCAAAGATGTTTCATTCAGCAAATAATTTGTTTATTTTGTACCTGTATAGCATTAAAGACACACAGAATGTCAATAAAAGGTTTAACTAACATCTAGTTTCTTTATTTTTACATTTTAAGCTGCTTTAAACTGACTATATAAAAATTAATCGTGATTACAATCGAGATCGAACGATATGCAAAAATATATCATGATCATTCTTTTTGCCATATCGCCCAGGCCTACCTTGGCGATCCTCCTTAACTGATAAAAACTGGCTTTGGTGATGGCACTGATTTGCTTTTCCAGAAGCAGATCACTGTCAAGCCGGACTCCCAGACTGGTCGCTACAGGTTTCAAAAATAGGGCCAGTGGACCAAGGTCAGCAGAACATGGCCCACTGGACACACTAGGACTAAAAAGCATGACCTCAGTCTTGTTATTATTAAAATGTAAAAAATTTGTAGACATCCGTGTTTTAACCTCATCGAGGCAAATTAGAAGAGGATCTAAAGAATTGGGTAGGCCATGTTTAATGGAAATATAAACCTGGGTGTTGTCTGCATATAGATGAAAAGAACATCAATGTTTTGTAAAAATAGAACCGAGAGGTAGCAAATACAGAGAGAACAACAACGGGCCCAGCACCGATCCTTGAGGAACCCCGCATACGAGAGACGAGCGAGATGACGTGAAGCCACCTAATGATACACAAAAAAAACCTCTCAGCCAAATAGGACTTAAACCAGTCCAAAGCAACTCCTTTAATCCCAACAGACTCTTGTAACCGTGAAATCAGGAGACTGTGATCCACGGTGTCGAAGGCAGCAGACAAATCCAACTGTACCAGAACCACAAAATCACCAGAGTCAGTAGCTAAAAGAATATCGTTTAAGACCCTGAGCAGTGCAGTCTCTGTGCTATGTGCCTCCTTAAAACCTGAATGGAATTTTTCACAAATGTCATTTGCATGCAAAAACTCCGTCAATCGCAAATACACCACTTTTTCCAGAACCTTTGAAAGGAATGGAAGTTTTGAAATAGGCCTATAACTGGACACAGTAGAGGGGTCAAGACTGGGCTTCTTAAGTAGTGGCTGAAACAACAGCATGTTTCCAAGATTCTGGAACCACACCAGATAAAAGGCTACTATTAACCATGGAAAGAACCCAAGGACCCACAGAGGAAAAAACCTCCTTAAAGAGGCGGGGATGAATCACATCAGTAGGAGAACCTGAGGGTTTTAAGGGTTCCACAAGCAATCCAGAGTCAGTGGATCAAATTGACAAAAAGTTGAAGGGCAGCATCCTGCAGCAACCTGAAGAGGACATGCCGGTATCTGAGCTCTAATGCTCACTATTTTATCGATAAAAAATGTCACAAACGATTCACACAGCCCCTGAGAGATCTCAATTTCTGCAGGTTGGTCGACATTGAGGACGTTAGCTAAAACATTAAAAAGAACCAAGTGGTGCTCGCTGCAGAACCACAAAGGCGGAGCTGCACCAGAAGGTGGAGCTGCACCAGAGTCAGCCCCGCCCATTCCAGAATCAGCCCCGCCCATTCTATCAGAGTCAGTCCAATTCCTTCCAGTTGTCAGGCTTTATAGCATTCTGGAACCAAAGAGGGTGTTATGGCTAAAAAATGCAAGATTGAGGACGGAGTTGAGAAGTGAATTGAACAGTTTTTGTAAAGGTTCCATATAATTAAAAATCTAACTTTTGGAACTTTTAATCATGTTATATTGTCATTTCCTCATAAGAAACACGCCAAAGCTATTTTTGGCCTCATTCATGCATTTTCTTCCCATCTCAGCTTCAATTTGGTCTCCTCCCCCGAAGCGGGTCTGGTCTTGGTTCTCAAATCTGGATATTCTGTGAATTTTCTGACAAATTATTTCTGAAATGACTTCTACTGAGACACCGCCAATAAACCATACATCCCATCTCCAAAGACACACCGAATAGCATAATAAAATGTAACGCCACCTAGTTTTTATCAGATATGGCGGTGTAGTGGTGATAGTGTCAGGTTGACATGCAGTTTTGCGCAGGTTCGCCTCCCAGCAGTGGAAATATCCTATAATCTCTTTTCCTCATTTCTAGCTACACTTGCCAGTACTATGTTTACAACAATTTATTGGTATGCCGTTTAACATATAATGACTAATGTGTTTTTTTATTTATTCATTCGTTTATTTAGCCAGTGTGAGTCCATCTGTGAGCAGAGTTTCAACTAAAATGCTGTTTAGGAACGACCAAATTCAAAGAACTTGTAGAGACATAAATATTTTGCTGAAAATGAACATTACAACTAAAATATGAACAAATTAAATGTTTCAGCTGGCTAAATAGATTGTTGCCGACCCCACCGAGAATCGAACCAGCATCAGCTGAGGGGAAAGCAAAACTTAACTCAGACGATCTTGCCACTGGACTAACAGAACCCACATGGTAGTGGTACATGCTGTTGTACAGGAGTTTTGTTAGAGCGGCTGTGGGCAGATATTCGCTAAGAGAAACCTTTTTATTTCGGGATATATTCAGACTTTGTCATGTAGCAAGTTATATTTATCTTGTTTAACTGGAGCACAGAACATAGCATTAACGACTGTAAACTAGTAACAGCCGTAATTCATGTGGGTCAGGTCAGTTTGCGATAAAGTTGAAAACAAAAACGGAAGTCAGTGGGCTAGGCTGAGTTTGCGTGAATGGGCGGGGCTGACTCTGGTGCAGCTCCACCTTATGGTGCAGCTCCGCCTTTGTAGTTCTGCAGCGAGCACCCTCTCAAAAGAACACGTTTTAGCCTCAGAACATACACATGGAAAGAATGGTACCTAAACATCCTCCCAGAGGAACTCCTGCAACTACCAAGACAAGCTTAGTGACAAACAGTGGGTTATCCAGGATGATGGGGCACCAAGCCAATAGGATAAGTTAATCTGCGGCAGATAAACGGAGAAGGAAGTGACGCGCCACCATCAGCGTCAGCCTGAAGAAGCCGGCAGCTGTCGGCGAAACTGTAGCTACAAACAGGTAAACAAAACTGTTTCTGTGTTTAAAAAAGAACGAAAGAAAGGATAAGTTAATATAAAATGGATGTAATTGACAAAGAATGCTGTTTACACTCACCAGTTGCTTATAGTTCAGTAACTGTAGGAACATCTAACAAAAAGATCTAAAACAATTTAGCAGTAAACTTAGTGAAAACATTTGTTCAGATTAAATATTTATTTATGTTCCTTTAACACACACACACGTACGCACGCACGCACACACACACACACACACATATATATATTTTTTTGCATTTCAAGCTTTCTGCATTGTGTAAATTGGGTGTTACATAAATATTGTCCACACAGAAATCAGAAAATGAGGTACAGCCAAGAATTTCACACTGAAGTCAAAAATCCTGTTTTATCTTGAAATTAAGACAATTTTTTAATCTGATCTAATGAATGCTTGAATGAAATTTTTTTTTCTAAATAAATTCTGCTTTTTTAATATTTATTGCATATACTATAGTGAAGAGAAGGTTTGGTTTGTGTGTCAGTTAGGTCATTGTGAGAATGTTAGCTTGTTAGCATTTAGCTCAAAGCCTCACAGAGAGATAATCTATCTCTCTCAAGCACCTTCCTCCATGTGCTCATGTCTCCCCGGTGACAAAGTTCTTCTCTTGTTGAGCTCCTTCAGCTGAGATAATCTGCTTTGCTTTCCTTTCCTTTGACCTTTACGCCTGCCAGCTGCTCCGTGCACTTGCACCAGCACAGCTCTTTGATAATGTGATGTAAAACGCTCTTTTAACCGGGCACATCACGTGCCTGCTGACAGACTGGTTACTGTGTGAGCTCCGAGAGTTGCCTGGTAAACAGAGAAAGCTATTTCCGGGTAGGTGAGAGAGGACTCTTTGAAAAGTTGACTCAGGGACAAGCGTTGACGTTACTCCTCTAGCTGGCACTGGAGCTCATTACAGCTAAGAACACACAGAGTAGGATTACCTCGCAGCGGTAACACTGCACGTGGAAGTCACGGTCCAGGGCCACGATACGAACGGTCTCCTCCTGGCCTGGTGCTGGCATTATGGGCTCAGAGCACACACAGCAGCGTGGAGCGAACTTCCTGAGAAACACAACAGAGAGGAAATCAAAATAACAGCAGAACCTGGTACTCTATTCGACAAAAAAGGCATTTCAAAGAGTTGTAGTTTTTGTAGTCAGCAAATCTTTGATGATTTCATTAATAAATCTCTGAGGTTTTAAATCCCTTTACGAAAACTCTGTAAAGGAAGCACAACAACCAAAAACTGCTGTTCAGAAACTGTTGTAGTTGAAGTGTTTTATTTCCGATGGGACCTTTTTTTTTTTATATCCGCCACAGATCTCTCTGAAGAATTCACAACATTGACGGCTTCAGCAACGCTGTGCCACTCCGTGGATTTTCTCTTATTTGTTTTGCAAAAGCACTTCCTTTCATTTCTCCACCTCACCCACAGGTACCCCAGTTTCTGCTTCTGTGAAATTGCGCTTCCTTGATCTGCCTTGATCTACGGTCGCCATGTCATTGGTGGAGCGCTGCAACAGCCTGCTTATGTATATGCATGAGATCCACAAGGCACTTTGCATTGACTATTTATGGCAGTAAGTGGGCGTGGTGAGGGCGAGATGTGACTAAAATGCAGCTGAGAAACATTCTCGTTAGTCTCTGATTTATGAAGCGGAGATTGCGTGCAGCTGTGCGTCCTCCATGTTTGATAGATCACACACCTACTTGGTGTACGTACATTTTTTTTTACTGAGCTTAAGTACGGTTTTAGTAAGGATCCTACGCCATGTTTGATAAATGAGACCCCTGACCTGTATTGGAATGTTTACTATGTGAAGTGCCTTCAGACGACTCTTGTCGTGATTTGGTGCTATATAAATAAAATAGAATTGAATTGAATTAAAGCTTTGCATGGAATGGCTCTGTCATATTTGCCTGATATGCTTTGCTCATATAAGTCTCCGCGTAGTTCGATCAACCAATCAGCTCCTGGTCGCGCCAACAGCAAAAATGAAATCAAGAGGGGACAGAGCCTCCGCAGTTGCGGGTCGAAGACTGTGGAATGCTTTGCTGCTGACCGTCACAATGGCCCCCTCAGTGGAGGTGTTTAAAAAAAAAGGAGGTTAAGATGCATTTTTCTTCACTAGCTTTTATGCACATGGCACAAGAAACAGTGCTCCCATTTAGTGTTTTAGTGCATTCATGGTTTTAGTAGGACTGTTGTAGAGTATTTTTTTTTGCGATCACTCTAAACTACTCCCATAGTATTTGTCATTGTCTTGATGTTTGTAGTGTTCAGCACTTTGGGAATCCTTGGATTGATAAAAGTGTTATACAAATAAAGTTGCTGCTGATAACTACTGAAAAAGCTAAGTGAAAGACAACATCTGTTTTCCACTCATTTTCAGACATCAAGAAATAATGAGTTTAAAAATTAGGTGAAAACATAGTTGAACAATCATAGCATACCATAGCTAACTGAAGTACACATTACCATTTACAAAATCTGAAGCAGGAACTCTGGAATCTCCTAAAGCAGAAGAGGTACGTCTAACAATAGCTGAGAGGAGGATGTGAAATACATACTGAGACTTTAGGAAGTGTTGGTGACCAGAGCTCGGGTAAACACCTCCTCTGTTCCAGACATCCATTCAGTGTCTGTGAATCGAGAAGTGAAGGGTCCGTGTGGCTCTGGGGAACTACGGCCACATGGCATTAGCTCAGGTCCGGGCTGGACTATTCCTCGAAACAAAGGGACATGCTGCCGAGGTCGCACGTGTCATGTAGAATTAGACAGCAGGCCAGACCAGCCATGGTGCACATGATGCAGGAGCTGCACACGCACGCTCACACGCACACACACACACACACACACACCGACAGCCAGCGCTTTCCCGCCTTTTCCTTTCTGGTCACTGAGTAAAGGACCATTTCTGGTAATGTAGTGGTTATGCAATCAGAGAGCATGGTGCACTGACAGGAATGTACTACTAAACCTGTGTCCACATCTCAAGATCACATGAATTGCTAAACTGTTTGCAGTAGTTCCCATAAGGGAAGACCAATATCCTGTGTTACCAAATGAACAGCTACCCTTTTGAACCAGTTAAGGGGTTTTAAAAATAACATGATGCTTCTTGTTTGTTGATAAAATAATTCGTAAATGTTCTGATAGTTTTCACATCTAGTAGGGGCAGAGAGAATTGAGAAATCATCCATGACTGGCTGGCCATTGTACTATTTTCCTGCTCATGTTAGTTTAGTTTTGACTCAGATATCAGCATTTTTACAAGCTTCGCTCCACGGTGCACACCAACTGTCATTGTTTGCTCGATAAAAAGCGGGAATTATTGGAGTTTATCTGGGATTTCTCTCAAAAAAAGAAAACAGACCAAAAATAACATTTGAAAATAGTTCTGGACAACATAGAAAAAAAGTGTATTAATAAAAAAATAATCATATTGATCAAAATCAATAATTATTGAAAACTATATGAGAAATATAGAAAAAATTTTAAGTGCAGCCCTGGCTATTTCATGTAATTGCTTTATGATAAAACCACTTGGTTGCATTAACAGACATGTTTTTTATCGATTCTCCGTTGCAAACCACCGTTGGTTGTTTTTTGTCAGAATTGCAAGAAGGAAAATATTGCCACACTGGTGAAGTACTGTAGTATTTTTTGGGACAATTTCTTCCACCTCTCCTTGCTGCAACATCTTGTTTGAAGGGCAAATTGCACGTTAGAGGCTCCCGTGAACGAATGTTGTGAGAAACATAACATAAACTAGATTTAAACATGTTTTACACATACATGAATTATTTTGCCTTTTAGAGTCGTCGTGGGAATTATTTTTTTTTTTGCCAAACCAAGACACATCAGCTGAGGGAGTCCTGTTAGCTTAATCCAGAGAAAAATATGGATTCTAATGCCGGCTCTGACACAGAGGAAACTTCAAATATTTATAAATGATGGACCAAAATCATAAAGTTATGAGTTTGCTGCACGGCCCAGAGAGCAGACAAACCAGAGGGAGAAACAATCGGCCAAAGCAGAGAGATGGAAGGGACGCAGCGGGGGAGCTAACGATGCTAGGTTAAACTCGTGTACTAACATCACAATATTGTACCGATTACTATCATGTACCAGACAATTAAAACAGTATCGGTCAGTTAATTTAATATTAATACTTGACAATAATAACTAATGAGCGTCTGTCAGCTGTCTCATAACCATTAATATCCGTTCATGTAACGTAGTTTAGCGTTTAGAGAGATGGAGAGAGACGCCTGTGATATGGCTCTGGAGCTCATGCGGGCTTCTGTGAGCTGGATCTGACCCAGACACCAGCGAGCCAGTCGAGCTGGTATATTTAAAAGCTGCGTATGATCCTTTCCTAGAGGTCTGCGGCGATTCTGTTCTGGTTCCAACCCAGAAACTAGCTCTACTGGCCCGTTGAGCTGCTCGTCTCTTCTGGCGGTCGGTTCTGACCTGGTTCTGACGGTGATCCGAGCTGCAGAAATCCGCATTTAATTTTTTCAACTCCGCCACAGGTCTCCAGAGCCCAGCACGGACCTCCCTGTTCCAGTACCGACCGATATGGGCTACAGAAATCTCGTCTTTTCAGCTACACAAAACACCCTCAGGCACAGAGATAGAGGTGATGTTTCTCTTATCTGGAAACCCGTGGACTCGATGTCCAGACAGGCTGGAGTTGGTACAGCCTTCACAAACGATAGTTTATCAAAATGAACACAATCCAAAACTAGTAAACACACACATTGAATGGAGGACACAGCTCTCTACCCTAAAACTACCCACTCTCCACACTGAGCTGAGGCAACACCTAGCTTTTAACTCCCTTTGGTTACGTCAGAGTTAAGATTTGCTGAAAATGGCCACTTTTTACTCGAAAATCTCTGCTGTTATTTATTTCAAAAGAAAATATTCACAATAAGCATTTCAAATAGTATTTTTTGGACAGCATTTTATATGAATTAGAAAAAAAAAGTAATCTGCAATTAGCTCTTGAAGTCACATTTCTGTCTGTTTAGGTTTGAGAGGGGAGGGCTTGGTGATGAAGCGTGCTTGGGTCTGCATTGTTGATTGGTTGGGTGTAAGTAATGACTCTAGTATGAAGCTACCAGATAGGCTATAATGGAAAAAGGAAAGTTTTCATTGATCCATTTTTTTTCTATTGAGTCACACGTCTATCAATCGATATATATTGTTATTGAATTATTGTCCAGCCTTATCTGAAAGCAAACCCCCCAAAATGCAGGAAATAACTAAGCTTTACCATTGACTGTCAAGAGCAAGGACTTATTGTTGGCTAGCACCCCGTTAAGTGATTTGGTCGGATGTGATGAGACGAGGCCTCTCGATGAGAAAGTTGATTAACTGCAGAATTAATTAATAAAATGGCAACTCTAAAGTGTCCCTATGTGTGAGGGAGTATAGTATTGGTGTGTGTCCCTGTGATGACCTGCAGACCTTTCCAGAGGTTCCCTTGCCTCTAACTCGATGCCTGCCGGAGATAGACACCAGCTGCCTGACCCAACTGAGGAATAAGCGGTTAACACACTGAGGGGGTGATAAAGTGGACCGCTAATGCATATGAACGTGATAACAAGCTTAGGGAAAGACGAGTGTTCTACTTCAGCATTTTTGAATGATTTTGTCAGAGGTTTCTATGGTGACTGAAGTGTAAATTCAAGCCTTTCATAATTTTCCAAGGCTGTTTTTGGCAATTGCATTCAGTGTTTTTTACAGTCAACAGTTGTATGCATATAAGTGTTTGTGTGTCTTTCTAATGCAGCCGGCCCCGGCACGATGTCAATCACCTTCAGGTAAAAAAAAAAGTGTAAAATCCTTCCCGATAGCAACTCATTCATCATGCTTGGAGTTTGTCGGAGTTTGTGGGTTTTCGTTTGTTCACCCTTCTCAAGAAGACCATTTATTCTCAACGAGATTAATATTCGAGAGTTTCCTGAACATGAACCAAAAACGTTGATGTTTTGCTCTCTGAGCCGAGCTCTGTACTGGTGGATCAACTTTAAGAGATGGTCCTGATAACGCTGGATCATCTTGGGCATCCTGAAGATTAGGTCGGTTCTCATGACACACAGAGAAACTGTGATTCACCTGATCAGTCTGCAGAACATTCTGGTTGCATGGTGGCACAGCAAGAAGGTGGCAGATTCAATTCATGGCTGCTTGCTTTCTATGTGGGATTGGCATGTTCTCCCCAAGCATGCATGGGTTTATTTGGGTGCTCTTGTTTCCTTTCACAGACCAAAAATATACACGTCAGGTAAAAACTAAGTGGAATAATGTAGAATGAAACAATCTTCTAAATAACAGGTAAACAAAGATTATGCAAACTATAATCCCAAAACCTGAGGCACCAAACCTTATGACAATTAATATCTGTGCCATTGTCAAAGCCTCTGATCACAACGGAAGACTAAAAGAAATGTTCAAAGTGAGGATAATTTAGGACTCTGAGACAAAAAGTAACACAACTGTGGCTTTTTGTTCCGTGTCCATGTAACTGAGCATCACGCCTTAGTTACAGATAATCTACTGTGATGATTATGAACCATTTATTAGATCAGAAACAGCATGATGATAGAGGTAAATAGCACATATGTCTTACAGATGGAAGAAAAGTGATCGTATGTAACACATCAGACATGGCGGGTTAGCACAATGCTGGAACAACAACATCAGTTCTGGGTTTGGGGTAAATTGTGAGCAGCTGTTCTACTTCAACACGAAACCTCTTGTTAAACCCAGTCAGCAATGACTATAAAGGCACGGCACAGTGCTGTGTAAGTTCACATGAAATACGAACCAAGTCCGAACTCAGTTCACAAAAACAAATGGAGTTAATGCATGAATAACGTTAAAGATTCAAAACTAAATTCAGCCACAAAAATCAACTAATCGTTCATGTCAGAAGGTTCTTAAACATTGGTAGATGCATCATGTGGTCCACTGGTTTTTCCTAACGTGAAGCTGATGTTCTGCTCTTCTTCTCTACCTCCAATATGAACAAGGATGCGGCAGAGGTGAGATAAGCAAATGTTAATTACATAATCAACATGTTTTCAACCACAGCATAATGCGACTAATCTCTTTTCAGGTGGAACTAAGATGTCAGGGGTCTAATTTTAGATACATTTACACATAAAGAAAGGAAGTGACAATGGTTCAAAGTTATTTTCCACTTTACCCCCACTTCCTGCCTACTGAAATATGGATGTTCATTGCTGCATCAACTCACTAGCTTGTTGCACGAGGATCCGGTGCATATAAGTTTATTACATAAACACTAATTTTGTTCCAAAGGCCATCCAATAAAAATGAGAGCAATAATAAGTCCTCACAAAGATAGGATGACATAGTTGTGTGTGAGTAAACCCAGTAGAAAACTAGATGTTTTAGAGGAAAGTATAAACAGCTTTCTTCTGCAGGAGAACCTCAGGTTTGTTTTTAAAGAGCAAGTCACCCCCAAATCAACAATTTTTTTCTGATAAACTATATAAATGTGTGTCTAATCGTGCTGCAGACACGTGTAATCAATAGTTTTGCACTTTAGTGCATTTTAGTTACAATTTAAATTTTCTGCCTGAAACTGTCAGTGTTGTGCCGTTGTCAGGTAAAAACTCTTCACTGGATTTGAATTTAAATCTGCCATCGCTATTGGCTAAGAGGTATGCTATGATGTAAACTGGTACATTATGATGTCACAATGTCGTGAGTGTGTGTATTTGTTAGTGGCTCCACCCTCTCGGTCTGCTAGGCAACAGCATTTGTTGCATTTTTCAGACAGGAAGTGGGAGTGGAGTACGCTTCCTGTAAGGGGTGACTTGCTCTTTAAAGTCACTTAGTTTTAAGACCCAAACATTTTTCATACAGCTAATGTAAAATGATCAGGATGACACCGTAGCTTATGACAGTAAACTCCAACCAATCAGATCAAAGAAGCCTCAAAGGAAAGTCGGTTGAAAAACACCATCAAATAGATTTTGGTGAGAAAACAAAATAATTTTTAAAAAGTCAGTTTATGAATCAATACAAGAAGAATATAACACTTTCATAACAGCAGCCTTTTTATGCCACATTTTCACTGTAAAAACTAAAACAAAGAGGCTGTTTTTGGAATGAGAGGTCCACTTTAGCATGAGCCTGTTGCACTAAACTTTGATCATATGTGAAACGCTCTGCAACTGAGAGGAAACTGAAAACTACCCAAGCTCTGAATGTTCTTTCTCTGTATTTTGATGTGTGTGTATTTCAGCATTTTTTAGAATAACGTGATCTGAAATGTTTTTATAAACACAAACAAAATGATTAAAATTAAAAACCACAGCTAGTACCTGAAATAGTGTAGACGAGGTCTGAAAAAACCCACCTGAAGCTGATCGGTCCAGAAAATAATTTTATTACAACTCTGAACGAGTATGTCATGTTGTTCATTGTTCTGATTGGTTCTAGCACTGTTCAGAGACAGTTTGAGAGACAACGGTGGATTTCGCCCCCACGACCAAGCTCTCTCTATGGGTTGGAGTAAAATTACACATTCACACATATAGGAAGGTTTGTCAGGCTACCCAACAGCTGTAAGAACCGCTTTTCTCAATAAAATACGATATTAGGTTCAATCTGGCATAAAAGTGTCTATTTGAAGCATTTCTGAGCTTTACTAAATGCATTATTTAATAAAAAATATAAACTTGGTTTGATGTGATCTTTTTTGCCCACATCTTGAAACGTTTGGACATCCTTATCTTCACCATAAGCACAATAAACAACCCATGAGTGAAGAGTCTTGATCGAAGGGATTGTTTTTGGTGATGCGAGGTTGAAGTAAACGTGTTTGACTGGAGAAGGTTAAACTGCAATGACCAGTCTGGGTCCTTACTTGTGAAAGTCCTCGATGCAGTGGATGTGGTTGGAGGCGTCCACGGTGAAGGGGATTCCATCCAGGCTGCGGTGGCACACCACGCAGGTGAAGCAGTGAGGGTGATAAGCCTTTCCTGTTGCCCGCAGGATGCGTTCCATGATGGGCTTACTGCAGACGTTGCAGGTCTCCAGGGTGTTCTGGACACACAAACATTCGAAGTTTGAGTTACGACACGTATTTTATGTCAATAAGACTCATTAAAGGACATTTTCCGGCTATTCCTCTAAATGTGAGCATGTGATGTGAGACTACTCCCAGCCAGCGTTCCACTTTGTTCCAAATTCTAGGCCTTTGTAAAAAAAATTCCAAACTTCAGACCTGCCCTCCAGCGGAGTTGTCCTCGAATGCCTCTGAAGCTAAAGGGATCTGATTAGCGCCCACCCCCACCCCCCAAACACAAACAACCATTTTTCAGCGGCCCTCTCCCACACTCCATCCTGCCTCATGCAAGAGTGTGTGCAGTAAATATTTCCACTTTGTGATGACTGCAGGATTTCTACAGCCAGGCGACTGGGCCGACTGCCCGCAGGGGAATGTGGCTACTGCCTCCCCCCTGACTTATCTGTGGCATCTCTCCTCTTAATATCAGCAGAGAGACGCCATTTGTTATTTCAATATTTCATAAATAACCAGAGCCTCTAGAAACGGCGGTGCCATTACAGAGGGATGAATTTATCATGTACGGGTGATCGATGAGGCTGTGCGCGAGCCGATGGGCTCTGCTGCTGCTGCTGACTCGCGCTCAGGCATTTCCTGGATCTCCTTTGCCTCCCCCTTCCACCCTCCCTCTCCTCTCATTCTGCGCTTCGCTGGACTAAAGAGTGCACGGTTCAGTTGCTCCCATTGGCCCCCGCCGTAGAAGCAAGCTGCCTCGGTGTTTCCAAACATGGCTCGGGGTGTGTAGCAACACTGCACTGCGTCATCCGCTGCCTCCCAGATGCGCCGGCGGGCCCTGCCGTTTAAGATGACACTTCTGTGACTGCCCGGCCGAGGTAAAACTCCCGGCCTTCTCCTTGTCTCACACACTACGCAGTTAGAGTTCACATGCTAATGAGCAGGGATGCTTTTCCACAGGATGAGGTCAGCTCCTGATCTGATTCTCAACACGACGGAGGGCGAGAGGGCAGGAGAGGGGAGCAGCTGATGTATGACTCCAGGCTGGAGAAGAAAGTGGTTTGAAAAACGGCCGTTTCTTCAAAGCACTCCCGCAGAGGCAGTATTTCATGAAAAGCAATGTGTGCAGACAAGCTCTGCATTCCCCCTCCTCCCCTCTCCTCTAAGACGGTAATAGAAATAAACATTATTCCCTGGGCAACATTTGTGTATAAACAATGTCCATATTGCAATCCTGCGCGATCCTGGAAGTGGAATAAAGCCTTTAATGAGCTCGCTGCGTCGAACCCTTGAGGTTTGCTGCTCTCTCTTGCACACACACACACACACACACACACACACACACACACACACACACACACACACACACACACACACACACACACACACACACACACACACACACACACACACACACACACACACACACACACACAAGAGGTAGAAAGATATTTGGGAGAAGGAGGGGCGGGGGTGCATATTTGCAACCTGAGAATCAGAATAAGACACGAGGGCCAAGCAGCATTAAAACCTTCCTCAACTCATCCGCCTGCATTCCTGCTTCCTTATTCTCATCTGGCCTTCACGTGGGAATACCTTGCCCTTGTTTAGCTTAACTAGAGCATATGATTTCACAGCACACAGTTCCTCCGGGCCACTGTAATGAGTTCGCTACTCAAAAGACAAAATTTCTCTCTTTTTTCCAAAGACGATAAAATTCTATGACCTCAATTCAGTCATTCAGCTAAGTTCCTGTTGTTTTTGCTTCGACTTCCTCTTTGCTTGGGATTGGTTAGCATTAGCCTGACATCCACACAGAGGCTGTACACGTGTTCTGGTCTCTGGTTGGAGTTAACTTCCACTCCCAGTTTGGGGAACTCACCACTAATCAGTTCATGCCCTCTCCTTCAGACATCCAGGTCCTCTGCACGCCACTAGAGGGCTGTAGACGTCTGCACATGTCCGCACTGAGCTGCTTCTTCCTTCACTAGATGTGATATATTCCAGCATATGTGTTCTCTCTCCCCCCACCCCTCTCTCTCCTTCATACATTTGTGTAAGTGTTTGCCCAGAAGGCTAAACAAATGTCTAGGCAGATGAGGTAAAGTGAATTTAGGTCAGACAGCCTCCTGCTGAACCGAGGGGTGAGTGAAGTGCATTAAAGTCAATTGTGGCTCTCTTTTCTTGCTCTAAACTGTTTCCTTTTGGCTACAAAGTGCTCCCAGATTACCAAAAACGACCTGCACGGTCCAGCACGGCTTCTTAGGTAACAGGTTCCATGATGGCATTTGACGCAGCTGTCTGTGAAACCGAGGTGTGATGACAAACAAATGAGAAAACCCGTGCGCTACGCTTTTGATGTCACGCCATCCACTTCTGAAATGTTTATTACTTTCCAGCCGGATTAAATCAAACTCTATTTGTTAAAATAAATCATGTAGCGTGATGAATTGTCCATCTTTGACCTAAAAGGCTCCATTTGCTCTGCCCAAGCAAAACCATAAGTTTCTGACACAAGCCTAATCTACAAGATACGGGCCAAGGCCACTCGTGCTCTTTGCTCTTATCTAAGCTGTCGCTTCCTCGGACAGCACAAGAAAGAAGAATTCTTATAGAAACAGAACTTTTCTCTTTAAATAATAATTAAATAACGTCGGTTAGTCCAAATAATCACGTGAAGCTAATGTTCAATCAATCTGTGAAATGAGAATATTAATTCTTGATATTATAATCCTATGATAGTATTTTAATAAGTAATGTAACTTTAAACTAGACACTAGACTGATCACACGTAATGTTAAAAATCACATGACACATTTCCTTTTTCTGATCCAATCAGAACCTTCCAGATCTAAACTATTATAAAACTACGCCCCACGTCATCTTAACTTGAGTTCCAAGCGTTCTTAAGAAGTTATCGGAGTGGCCAATCCGTAACTTTCCTCTTAAAGCCGAAAGAACCTAACGACAAGCTGGATTAAATCTGTTGCATGTTCCACCTGCTGCAACGATTCCTTCAGAATAAAAGCTGAACCATCGACCCCTTCAGGGTCTCGCTGATGCCAATAAACTGTCGTGACCTGGGAGTATCTCTAGACGGGACTGGTTGGTAACTGCGGCTTTGCTACAGGCTTCGGTTCCAGACAAGGTCCAAGCTGGACCTCGACACCTCCTGATCTAAACGGGGACTTCCGCTGGGTACGTAGACCGACAGATGGCGTCTCAGTGTGTGTTATAATCTCCAAACCAAAGCTTAGAGCGAAACACCATTTCACTCCCATCAGAACTAATTGTTTCTCTGGGTTTGCTGGTTCTGAACATATTTCACACACACACCATCCTCAGTCTTACTCCACCTTAGTTCATCATCACATAGTGTTTAAAGTTAGTCTTGTTTAATTTGTTTAGAAATCAATCTTTTAACTTTTTAAACCTGACTCTCTCTTTCTTGAAGTTGATACGAAGTGTTGCGCAATCCCTGCAATAAAAAGATCCGATCTTCTGGTTAAATTTACTCAGAGATCCATTAAGGTGACCTCATATTTCATGATATTTCACATTATGGTTTCTAATTAAATGTAAGAACATCTTCTCTACAATCAAAACATTTCTGTAAAACAGCTTTTAAAACGAGTCACATATAATACTGAGATATTTCACGAGAATTGTGATTAAATTAACCAGTAATGAAGTCACATAACGAGAACAACAGTGATGGGTCAAAAATGAAGCCGTTCTCCCTTCCTCTGCTCCCTTCTCAAGAAGCAAACAAATAAATCAGTTTCCACTCCCCAACATCCGATGTTGTTTAAACACATCTGATGCATGTTTGAGAAAATAAAACACTGGAGGAATGTGGCGTAGCGGAACATATAGTTAGGATGAAGCTGCTCACCAGCCCCGCCAACACTATCAACACAGATTTTACACCTATCTGTTCTCTCCTCTCACACACAGCCAAGCCGAGCTGACATGAGGCAGGCTAGAGTTCAGCGAGACCACACGCAATTTATGTCCTGGCACACTGAACTCAGACTGGGCCAGATTTACAGATGATCTGACTCTGCCTGTGTGTGCGCGCGCGTGTGTGTGTGTGTGTGTGTGTCTCCTACCCTCACAGAATGTGGTGGTCAGTGCCAGGCCATGCTGAGTGAATTAGCTACACCATACTGAAGGCAGCTCAGGAATATCTAACAAGGGTCTTATGAAGGATGGAGTACAGCGCTGTTGCTGTTTGGTTTCATGTGGACAGAATAACGGACACCGACTTGTTGGTGAACTGAGTTAAAACACCGACCACCAGACTTCCTGAGGGAAAGTGTCGGCTGATTTAATGGACCCTGACAAGTAGATTCTCTCACTTTTATTGCTTTAAAAGGGTCAATCAAGTAGGACAAACAAAATCTTTAAAGAGATAATGGGTCATTTTTACCATTAATCTCTGGAAATATTAGGGATGTAAGAAAATATCGATATGGCAATATATCGTGATATTTTTTCCAGCAATATTATATCGATACTCAAAAGCCGTGTATCGGAAATATCGATATGACAATATATCGTGATTTTTCCCCTGTAATTATTACATTGGTATTCAAAAGCCGTGTATCTAATTCTTGAAAGAATTTACATGCAAACATTTGTGTATTTTCTTTTTGTTTTGTGCAATTCAATCACCTCCCGCTAGTTGGCAGCAGTGTGCAACAGGTTTTGTTTCCACCATTGAAATGTACATCCCTCCCTCATGGTTCAGATACCTCATGTTAAACATGTTATGTATCAGTTTGGACTGTTTACTGAACATTCTTACAATAAATTCAGTAAAATAAATTGTTTGTAACGTCTGACTGAATGTATCGCAATATATCGTGATTTATCGTATCGTCTCCCCTGTATCGTGATGTGTATCGTATCGCCAGAATTTCAAAAATACACATCCCTGGGAAATATCCATCAAAATGTTATTGAAAATGAATGAAATGATGCCCAGTTGTTGACAAATATTGGCGGCTTCGTAACAAAT